TGTCTCCCGGCGCTGCCCGCCCGTTCCCGCTCGCTGTGAGGGAGAAGCGAAGCTCTTGGAGCAGGGCCCGGGGCTTAAAGGAAGCTCGTTTGCTCTGTTCCCCTTTAGAGGTGAAAAATAGGCTGAAACCCCTAAATTTTGTGCTCACCGAGTAGCCACGGCCGTGACAGCTTTCCACCTGGGTTATGTTTTTTATTTCCTCGTTTTGGGTGGGTTTAGGTCGGGGCTGTTAGGGACGAGGGGCCGTGGGCTGTGCTTTCGAGTCCCTCGGGCTGTTGTCTGTGATGGGAGTTGTGCATCGAAACCCAACTCAGTGCTGCAGTGTTGTGAAATATCTCCTGCCCAAAATTGAAGCACCAACATTGGTAAAAAGCAAACGTGCACAATTTCTTTTTGAGAATTGGGAAAACATTTCATGTTAGCTAGCTTAGATTTTTATTAGAAGATGGATGATGAATGTTTTTGATGCTAAGATTCATCTTTAACAATGAAAATGGGATTTTTGAATTGCATGTTTCTGATTTTTCTCTAGACTGTATCTGATTCAGGAAAGAAGACTAATTCTGGCAGACGCAGCACAGTGAAACAGAAACCAACAGCGTTCCCTGATCTTGACAATGACACGCCACGGGTTATGCTCAAGAGAATCATCAGGACCCGTAAGTATCTTTTTTGAGGAAAGCAGAGGTCAGAAGGGCAATGTTTTGGTAGAATTAAGGACCGGAGGTGTTCTTTTGTAGCCTATTATTCTTACTGTGTCATGCGAAATGGAAATCCAGACTGTCATATGACTGATTTATGTGGAAGAGGAATCGCTGCAGTGGCAGCTGAATGAGGTTATGTGATTCAGCTCTGTCTCAAAGACCAGATCTTATGCTGATGAAGGTGTATTCTTGGAAATCCTATTTGCTCAGTCTTTTTGTCCTGGTGAACAAGCATGTCGTCTTTGTGCTGCCTTTAGCTGTGTAAATTCTAGATGTGTGAGCTGTTGTGAACTTAAGCTCAGCTCTACTGCAGTACATGGAACCCCCATGCTGCCATTTGTCCATTGTATGTGCCAGCCTTCCTAGTAGAACCCAATTAATTTTCCCCAGATCTTTATTTTAACCTGTTAGTAAATGTAATTTACAGAATGTAGTGTAGATTTGACACACTGCTGCGTTTTGGCGTTCTTGCTGGATTGAATTGTGGAAAGGAAATGTTTTGGTTTGTTTGCAGAACCACAAGTTTCACCTCTAACACCTCAAGTACCTAAACATGAAGAAAAAAAAGAAGCTCGATCAGAGCTCCCATCTAAGAGGATATCTGGCATGTAAGTAATTTTTTAATTTTTACTTTTATTTTTTACACTACCAGGTATAGCTGCAGTTCCTGTGTTGGGATTGGGGAGCAGTACGTCCCTGCTTCTGTTTCAGTGATCAGAATTGCTCAGATAGGATTTTCAGAAATACCTCTCCAGCTTTAAAATTTGTGTAGGAATCACTGGGACTAAAGGACTGGATAGTAAATACTGCAGATTTGTGCTTTGTTCCCTTTCTAAATGCAGACTTAATATCTTTGCAGTGAAAGTGGATACAATAAGTCTCCTGATGGAAGCCTGCTTTTCTTAGTTTTTTGTGACATACTAAAATAGCTGTTCTTGTATCTTCCCAAGGCTGCAGGTGTTCTGCTGACAATGCTGGGGCATAAGGAGGGACTGCTGTGTCTTGTCTTCAGAACACAGGCTGCTATAGCTTTTTACAGTGTTCTTGCTTCTTGGTTGTCCTTGTTTAGGGCAGTTATGGGTAAATTTATGAGGGTGGTTTGGATGTGAGGTTTGCCTGAGGCTCAGCTGCTTTTATTCATTCATTCCATTAATATTTTAAGTTAATAGGCCTGAGTGAATTGGAGAGGCTGAAGCGTGGTTCATTTACTTCCACTTTGTTACAAAATAAAAGAAAGCCAGTAGTGGTGGTAGGTCTTATTGCTTTAGTCAGTTTTGTCACAACACTTGTGTGTTGTTTTGCTTACTGTAGAATAGGCTGTTCTAAATAATGTGATTTCTTTTGTCTTTATAGCTAAACTTTTTGCATTGACTGTAAGTAACCTTAAACAGGTTATCTAAAATATTAGGTTAAACTTCTGTCTTCCTTTTTTTTTTTTAATAGAGGAAGAAAAATCCAAGTTTTCTGTAAGTGGTTGTAAGCTTGGTTTCTTTTGTTGTTGTTTTGTTGGGTTTTTTTTAGATTACAAAAGATGAGGAGTATTATTTTAATTTCTCCTTGATTTTGCTTGTTGTAATTCTTTAACATCTCAATGTGCTTCTCATCAGCCTGTCTTAAATGAAAAGATCAGATGGTTGGATCTTTGCAGGGCTTTGTATTCCATATGTTAGCTAGTTGTTGAAGTTAAACAGGTATAGATTTTTTATTTGTCTTTTATTTTTAAATTCCTTCACAGCCTTCTTTTAGTTGACATGAACTTTCTTGAATTTGGGAAGACACTGTTTTCCCTAGTTGTAATAGAATATTCCAGGACAGATGTGAAAAAATTAGGAATCTTTTTTTCCCCACTGTTTTACATTTGTTCCCCATTACAAGACAGTTAATTCTAATGCTTAGGCTTATGTTATGCTCATAACAAGAAATGAAACATCTACATTTCTGAATGATCGAGAATGTTTTCCGTAAGGGGAAAAGACCCGTAAACATGATCATCTTACCATTTTTGCTGTACTGAAGCCACTTTTGTGGCAGCAAAGGATACAGAGCACCCCATGTGCTGAATGAGGGCCCTTGGCTGTGGGAGGGATGCTTTGCTCGAGTTCTGCAGAAAGCATTGCCTTAACATGACCTTCATGAGAGGGGATTCTTGAAACTGCTTGGTAAAGGGGGAAAACAACTCATAAACTTTACTTTCTGATCCTGATCCAGTGCCTGACTGGGATATTATTTGTCTACCATGTGTACCAGTGTGCTTTGTGATACCTAATGTTGTTTCATGATGATGGCTTTTTTATTTACACTGTCACAACTGACAAACCTAGTTGCTCCTGTGTGCTGTTAGGAGACGAGAGCTATGCAGCTTGTTGGAAGTCCAAGCTTTTACTTGTCTGACCTTTTTCAGCCCTAATGTTTTGAACATACACTTGAGATTTGATTCTCTTTGTGAAATTTACTTTGATTTAGTAGGAGGGAATGACACATTCCTGCATTTGCTTAGCTAATCACCAATTAGTTCCTTACTTCTGCTGCAGCAAGGACAAATAATTTTAGTTTGCTTCTCAGCATCGTTACAGGGAGCTTTCTAGGGTAGCTAAGTGATGAAGTTTTGTCCTTTGTTAAAGGCTTGGTTTGTATTGGTAGGGTGGAAATGCAACTGCCGGACTTCATTCCTGAGGACACATCTATCACCACATTCCATGTGACTAAGAAGAGAAAGAAACTCAGTGTTTCAGAATTTGAGAGAGCAGCAAACAAACGACTTCCTCAGAACCAAGGTAAGGCTGCAGTCAAAAATTATCTTGTTCAGCACTGCATTTGCTGTCAACTGACTTTCACCTGCTGCAGTTTAGTTCTTTGTAACTTCTGAGCTGGGCAGTTATATGTTTGGAAGCAAGATTGCAGCATCTTGTGCAAAGGGGATAGTGGAGACAGTAAAAGCTCCCTCCTATCAAATTTAAAATAAACCTTTTTGAGCCAAGTTACAGCCTCTGTCCTGACTGTATATACCTCCTTGACAATTTTTCCAACTTGGTGCTCTTTGAGTTTCGAAGTGTCTCCAATTCCAGAAACTTGAAAATACAACAAGCTGCATACTTGTTGCAATTACATCAAGTAAGTTATAAAGTTCTTGTTCAAGAAAAAAGGGTCTTGTAATTTTATAAAATAAATAATGTTTTATATTGGAATAAGTCTTCCCTGTAAACATAAATTTGCAAATGTAGTAAATATAACTTTAATTTTAGTTGCAGTTTGAGAAGCAGATAAAACACTTTGGTTTACATACTCTACTGACAGTAGCAACTAGAGTGGAATTCAAGGGTGGGATTCAGCTCCAAACTACAGACACTGGTACCTCAGCTCTGGATTATAGATGGTCTGTGCCTGTGTGTACACTAGGTAACTTGAAGTCCTAAAGTTTAGGGGTGGTCTAGTCAGTGGAGTATAGAAGCTGATTCAGCTTATCCTGAAGTAGACACGTTGTGCTTGACCATAATGGGAACGTAGACACCTGTGTTTGGATATTTTATTCTGGAGCTGAATCCTACCTTGCCTCACCTGTGGTCAAAAAATCAACCTGATACCTGGTCTGAACGTGTTTCCTGTAGCCTGTTGTGTAGTGTATAATTTCTCAGCTAATGTGTCACCAACTTTTTCTAGCTCAGTCAACGTTGGACAGTACTGCTTTGGCTCGGTGAGTTTAAACTAAAATGTCTTAACTTCTGGCAGTCCTAAGTGTAGCTGCCTTGATTTATCACCTCTGTAGTTGTGAAGAACAGTATAGATACCTGGGTTCCTGATAAAGACCTATGTTAGTAGTAACAGTCACGTCCCACGCTGGTGATGGAATTTGCAGGTGTTACACTACATACTTTATGATTTTCAGAAACTGTGGTTCTGCACTGTATGCCCATGTTGGTCTAGATTGTACTGCTGTGATTGCTCCTCTTTTTACTTATTAGGATCATTTCTTTTTTCCCTTCATTCTCATGTTTCCAATAATAAATCAGTATGCAGTATACCTTAGAGTATTAAATCTATTAATTGACTCATCACATGAAGTTGCATCTGTCCAACTTTCCTGGACTTTAAAAGCTTTTTAGAGAGTCAAAAGAAATTATTTTCCTGTGCTGCCTGCGTGCTTTCCTAATGATCCTCGCCATGGTTAGCAATTTATTTCACCTTTCTTGCTGCAGCCCTTGCCTGTGGTCCCATGCAGGGTGATTCTGTACTTCCTATCTTTGAATCCTCTGAACCCACTTTTTGATTGGACTTCCTGGAGAGAGGGATAGGAAGTAGCTGAGCATGGCCAGTCTCTTTAGGGTGCAAAATATGTACAGTGAGATGTACATATCTTAAAATATGTACGGTGTACATCTCTTCCTGTGCTTTGCATGTTGCTATCTTAGTGCCCATCTCAAAAAAGTTACAGGTAGCTGTACTTTGCTGTGAATACTGATACTGAGCATCATCTTAGACTTGTTCTGAAGTCCTCCTACCACCCCGCTGCCATCTAGAGGACATCTTTACTTTCAAACGTTTGTTTTTCTTTTTTGTGATATTTAAAACTTTTAAACCCCCTGAACCTTTGGCAGATATGTTGTTGCAGCCCTCTGGAAACTGTAAAACTGTTTCCTGATCTCTGTGATACATGATGTTGGGTGATTTTATGAAATTAAACTGTTTGTTTAAAGTAGATTGGCATGTAATCTTCAAGGGTTTTTTTTTAATTTCTTCCTAGTTAAAGGATTTGTGAAATGTCTAGCTGTTAGTGGCACTATGTCTGTAATCTGAGGGTAAAAGGGGAGTGTGTAAATTTTGAAAATTATTTCTTCCCTCCTCTTTTTACAGATCTCTTCGCATGTCTCTTGGTTCCTTGATTCCACCAGACACTGTTGAAAAGAGAGGCTTGCTCCGGAGGCCAAAAAATCGCAAAGCTATTGACATGGAAGCTTTTGAAGGCAAAGTGAAAAAGAACCTGTTGAAGAGTAAAGGTTTCTTTTTTGGTGTTATTTCTGTTTCGGGAGGGCCAGCCTTATATAAGGTGGCTTTTAGAAGCAATTAATGAAGTGTGGTCTGTGTTTTATGATTTAAAGGCTATTAAGACATTTGCAGAAATCTAGTGTAATTTGAGGAGCAAGATTAGAGTGAGGCTTTCCATCTGTAGTAGCTTTGATTCTCTGCACTTAAATGTGTGCTCTACCCAGTTTGGTGATTGATACCACAGGAATCGTTTGGGATCACGTTCCTAAATGTGGGTACTGGGGAGAAGGTTTGGTAGGGAGAGTTAGGGGCACTCAATTGTAGTGATACAGTGCCAGTGTTTGATCTGTGGAGGATGAATAAAATTTGGTTGAATGACTTAGAATTTGACTTAATGCAAGTCCTGGTAATAAATGTGTGTCTCTATGACCCTGAACAGTTTTTAACATAAAATTTGTTTTAAAACTTTCTAAACAGTACAGGACTATCTTGTGGACTTGCAAACAACCTCTGGTATCCAAGCAACCATGAAGACAAGTGATGCAGAAATGCTGAATAACACGGAACTCTTTGTTCAGCCTCAGTTTGGTGAACAGAGCCAAAATAAGCTTTCTGCTCTTGAACCACAGCTATCAGATTCAAAAATGTCACCACAGAGAAGCAAGATTTCTGATGCAGCTCAAGAGGAAGCAAGGCTGGTGGGCCTGGTATCCAGAGTGGGCACAAATGAGGGAAGGACCCGAAGATGTTCTGAGAACTTAATCCTTGATCATGAGCATGTTGGCAGAATGACTCGTCTATCTCCAAAACCACCTGCAAACCAGCAAGAGGATACACAGGTTCATTCCCAGCAGACTAACCCAATGGAACAGCTTGTGGAAGAAGTGGTGGCTGGCAGTGAGTACTATGGGTTAGGACTTGGGGCTTAGCGGGTATTCTCTGAAATCACGGAATGGTCAGAGGCACCTCTGGAGATCATCTTCTCCAACCCAGAGCAGGTTGCCTGGGACTGTGTCCAGGCGGCTTTTACATGTCTCCAGGGATGGAGACTGGAAGCTCTGGGCAACCTGTTCCAGTGTTCAGTCACCCTCACAGTGAAAAAGTGTTTCTTTATGTTCAGGTGGAGCCTCCTGTGTTCCAGTCTCTGTCCGTTGCCTCTTCTCCTGGCACTGGGCACCACTAAAAAGAGTCTGGCTCCGTCTGCTTCACATCCTCCCTTCAGATACTTGCATATGTTGAAGAGATTTCCCCCCCTCTCCTCAGGCTGAACAGTCCCAGCTCTCCCAGCCTTTCCTCCCAGAAGAGATGCTTCAGCCTCGTAATTGTCCTGGTAACCCTTTGCTGGACTCCAGTATGTCTGTCTCTCTCCTGTACATCTCTCTCCTGTACCGGGGAGCCCAGAAGTAGATGCTGTAAATTGGTCACAAATATGGTGAGATAAGGAGATAACATGTAGAGTTGTAGACAGAGTTAGAAGGAGTCTCAGGAGGTTACCAGTCTAGACCTTTGTCCTGGTAAGGTCATTTGTGTGTCACAGTTACCTGCTTCACTGTCTCCAGGGCCTTAAAAATCCCTTGGACAGAGGTAGTCACCTCCCTGGTCACTGTACCAATGCTTTCCAAGGCCTGTCACTACCAGTTTTTTCCTGGTGCCAGGTATATCTCTTCTACATTCATTTCCCTATAAATACCTTGTCCTGGCTGTGTAAGTGGGAGCATGTTTTCCTTATACTGCATAGCCCAGGCCCCCAAGGGGAGTGAGAGCGTATCTAAAGATGATGGAATTTGTAAGGCATTAACTATTAACATTAACTATGTTAATAGTTCTGCTGTTTTACCAAAGGTAGCTGGTGTCAATGTTGTTCCTCAGTGTGAACTGAAAAATAGTTACAAGGACTTTTCCAACTGGCTCCTAGAATACACTGATGTCCCTAAACTGTCTCAAGTAAAGAAAGCATTTTCTTGTGTGTATTCCTCTCTCTGCTTGGTTCGATTTTTACTTGCTAGAAAAGCTATAAGAAAGTTTTAAAAGATACTGGGGACACATTAATGCTCTCAATTTCTAGTTATTAATAGATGGAGCTCCTTCTTGTCATCCCTAAGCCAAAGGAAAGGTTTCAGCTCCCCAGTCACTCTAAAGCCTGAGAGATCTTTCAGGATGTTTGTGAGAGAAGTTGCATCCCGTATAATTAAAGACCTAGATGAAAACGATACAGAAGAGATGGCTAATACAGTGAACAGAGTGGAACAGGAAGAGATTTTCAGAGAGGGTAAGAAATGCTTTCAGTGTTGCAAGGGAATGGAGTACTTTAATCTGATTAAAACCAAGTTTTTTGGGTGTCTTGTAAGACTTTTATTGTGCGGTAGATGCTGGAGATAATTTAATTCTAGTCATATCAGAGACACTGCAAACACTGCTAGACAAGCTTTCTCAAAGTAGGCTGTGACTTGCTCATGTGCTTTCTTGTCAGTATTTGCTTTGTTCACAGTGACTGCAAATAGAACAAAGGTTCATACTTTTTGGTAGGTCCATAGTACTGCTCATCTTCCCATAGGAAAGATGAATAGCTCCCTCTTGGCAAGGAATACGCCTGGCTAATCTCTCTGTTTATTTGTATACATTTTAATGATTTACTAGATTTATTTAAGCTGTGTTGGCCATTATCTTTCTCCAGTACTAAGAAGGTTGCCCTCCCATAAGTAATAAAGGCCGCCACTAGTAGGTTGGGCTTTAATACCTTCTTGTTTCTGGAAGAGAGCAAGCCATGCAAGTTGCCTGCTTTCATTCTTAGCTTTCTCTGAAATCCTTTTGCCTTAAAATAAGATGATAAAACCTCTGCACAGATGCTGAGGATGGCAGGTGTTACGCAGTCATTCCGTAAAGCTTTGGGTATGTCTGGATACAAATTTCCATGTTTTGTCAAATTTCATTTTCTAAATTCCAGTTTAGGATCCTTTTGAAGTCTTTCCCATTTTCCCTCTACAGTGTCTGGAAATGAGAGAAGACCATTGCCATGCAGGCTTAATTCTGTCTGAAGTTTCATATGAATTACCTTGTGGTAGTATGGACACTGAGCAGTCTATAGCATCAACAGTTTTGTTATTAGAATTTTAAACTGAATACTTGCAGTGCCCATAAGTAATTGCTTGCACATACCAGGTGTATTGGCAAAATTATTTATGTTGCCTTTTAATCATGATAATACAGCCTTTTGTTTTAAACAATTATTTTGGAATAGTTCATTAAGGTAGCAGATATTTTGTGCTTCTGAATTTACAGTTGTGTAAAGTTGGCATCCTGTAACCTTTCTTGATTCTTTTGTCCTGTTATATTTTTACTTGGGTGTGCCTGTGGAATGTGAAGTCTGAACGGGATGTGACTCTCGAGATTGATGAAAGTCACTTCAGAATGATGAAAGTCACTGCTACAGTTATGTGAACACCAGCTCAGAGCTTGGGGGATGGTCAGAAAATCAAATAACATGTAAAAATTACTATGAAAGGAAGAGATGACAAAATTGCCACTTCAGAAATGATTGTCGTGCTCACCTTTTGAATACTGTGCGCAGTTCTAACCTCTCCATCTCTAAATAGCTTTAACAGAACTAGAGAAGGTGCAGAGAAAAAGTTTTACCACTAATGATAATCAACTATGTAAAGCAGTTTCTGTACATTAAATGACTAAAGATAAGGACTGCTCAGCCTGGAAAAAAGACAGTGAAGTGAAATACAAGAAGTTTAAAAACAAAAGCGTTGAGCAGCATGGAGGAGATGATTCAGCAAACAAATTGGGACAAACAGCTCCCTGATCTGTCAGTGCAGAAACTAAAGAGGAGCAACTGGCACTGACAGCTGGCAGGTTATAACGAACTACAGGAGGTATTGCTACTAGCAACAGGTGAAGAAATCAGTAAAATCTGACTTGAATGTGTCAATAGCATCTGGTATTCCACTGTTAAAGTAGCGTGTCCCAGCAGGGATTCACTGGTGCCAGTCTGCCTTAGGCAGTCTTAATGTAAAGTTGAGCTTTTGTCCTCTCCCCACAAAGCTGGTTAAAAACCCGATATTCTGGTTAGTGAGATTTGTATTACTAATTTGCATCACCTTTGGCCAAATTTCCTTGTCCCCTTCACTGAGGCTTGGGGCTCCCAAGTGTGAAAAATCCCAGTCATTGGAGAAGGTAGTAAAAATCCACTTTTACAGGTTCTGGTTCAGAGCTTGGCCGAGATTTCCAAACCCTTCATCAGAGTTCCCAGTAAGATTTCTCCAAGTAATTACCTGTGTTGATTTCTGCTGGAATTGAGCTACGTGGTAACAGAATTGTGGACTATAGGTTCGGTAGGTAGGGAAAATGTGTGCTTACATACTCTTTGGTATTTCAGCAGCTACTTCAGTAGCACAAATTTTTAAAGACATGCAAATCACATGTCCATTTATTTCTCCTCATGCTGCCTGCTAGAAACTTTACTGGTTGGTTAAATCCACTACTAGGTGCTCCTCTCTTTGTAATGCTGTATATCTCTTGCACAATTGTTTAGTCAGAAAAACTGAGGAAATGGGCAGGAGAATCTGAGCACAAACTTCATGTATTGTTAGACTTAAAAGAAATTGGTCGACACAACCACCAAAAGTGAGAATAGATGTAGAGACGACAGATCTGGAGGAGCTCTGTTTACTCTTAAGTAAAATTCCTTCACTGGGATCTGACATGTATCCTAATTAGGTGACTGTAGAGCAAACATAGGAAAAGTGCATTTTTCAGCTGTAAACTTTTGGAAAGGAACTGCATCTGCTTCCCTTATTTTTATAACTTATGACTACTGCTGAGTTTACTTACCATGAGTAAATTTATTGGTTGTTAAACTGTATGCTGGTGATTGATTGGGGGTTTTTTGCAGGTAAGACTGATGAAAGAATTTCCTGTTTTAACTGCAGATCATCATGCAAATTCTGAATATTCTAAACGTTTGGAAAAGAAATTGACCAAAAATGCAGACTTGCAGGTAACTACAGCACGTCACGCCAGAGTCAAAACAGAAGTGACCCCTTCAGAAGACAAGGGAATAGCAGAAGGCAGCATTGAACACCAAGTCTCTCCCAGAGGTGGTAAGGACAACCTCTAATACTGAAGACTATCTCTAATGCTAGAGACCTCTCAAGCTGCATTATTGGCGTCAGTGTTGGGAGAGAGGCTTGTTAACTCTTTCTGCATTCTGGAATCTGGGCTAAGTCCTGGGAAAATTCCAAACTAGTTGTGGCATTTTATGCTGAAAGACTGCATTCTGCTCAAACAAAAACCAAAACTCATATCGGTAATATTGCTTAGAAATATATAATTGCGGAAAGCTTAATTCAGATTTACTAGTGGAAGTACTAGAATCAGGCAAAGATTGAGAAAACTCGGGAGACCTTCTGAGTGCGTTGGAAAATCAGGATCTCCCAAGTTACTTCTCCTGAATTGCTGGGGACTGTGTTCAACATGCTGCACTAAGGCTTTGATAAGAATTCTTTTGAGATAAGAGTTCCTATTAAAGGAAATTAATTTAAAAAGAGCTCAGATAAAAGATTCACTCAAATCTCATGGGCTTTATCAAGTGCTATTTTTTTGGTGTGACATCAGCACACCTAGATGTAGCCGAGGGAAAAGTTGAGGATTCATCAGCGCTTTAGCTTATCTAGCTTAGTGTATTGACACCTTAATCCTTGAAGATAGGAATATAATAGATGGCAACATTATCAGGAATGGAGAGTTAGAGCACTTATGAGAATGAAACTTGAAATTTTGACTATGATATTTGTTTCAGTGAAGTATTTTTCCTGCTTTGGAAATCTAGAACTTGAGACTGCCAGAGGTGTTGGAGCTAGAAGTCTGGGCAGGCATTCTCATGCTGCTTCCTTCTCTGAAAAATCTGGGATGAAGCCATTAAAGCAAGCTGCTGAACAAGTAGATGAACTAGAAGATGAGCCTATCATGATAGAATTGGATGGTCTGGAAGAAGAGCCTACTGAGGATGAAGCTGAGGACTCTGGGAACGAAGGTAAGAAAACTATTGCAGCAGTAACAGAAGGCAGTTGGAGAATTTTTCCGTTACCTCTCAATAGATTGAGGAACAGCATAGGTTAATAACATGATTATCTGTTTAGTCCATTGGATAGTCCAGGGAAGCTGTTGGCTACTGTTCCTAGGGTCAGATTGTTACTGGCTCATCAGGTGCTTCAGGGACGTAAGTCATCTTGTACTTTTTGAGGTGAAGGTAATGAAGTGCACAGATAGACAAAACTGAGTGCAGAGTGGCTTTATACAGTGACATACAGTTTTCTTCCATTTTATTCTTCCTTCTTTCCTGAATCCTAGTTTCATGCTGACTTCTTAATGTCTTAGCATTGAATTGCTGTTTCCACAACCACTTATCTGACCACAGACTTGAAACCTAATTTAGAACCCCATATTTTATACATGTAGTTACAGATTTCCTTTCTGGTTAACCAAAAGAGTAGGCTGGCTTTCCAGAAAGCTGAGAGGAAGTGTCTGTTTCTAAACAGTTCTTTGGACACTGCATCAGTCTGCTCTGTTGTCCCAAGAGTGCTTAATGCCTTTTAGGAGAACATACACATCAGACTGAGTTCTCTGATCAAGGCCACGTTTGAAAATGCCCAGAGTGTGTTTTAGTGGTGTCTTTATGGGACTGGTCTTAAAGTCTTCTGAAGTACAGTACACCCTGAAATAAAAAACTGAGATAAGGACATACTAAAAGAATCCCATTGTGCCAGGATTTGAGGCACTGTACAGCTGTAATGAGAATATGAATGCCTGTATGTGTTTGTGCAGTGTGGAAGGCACAAAGGCAGCAGTTGAACTGGTGGTACCCTTCTGTCATAAGCTGTAGGTGTTCTTAGGGCATCTACAACAGTGTGTCAATGTGCTTATCTTTAACACAGCTGTGTGAAGAGATGGAAAGATCTTGATGAAGAGGTCTCTGCTGATAGGGTGGAACGGTAAGAGTAGCATCTTAGAAGTCTCATTGAACAAGGAGAGGAAGAAAAGTGGAAAAATTATGCACTCTTGTCATAAAATTTACCTCAGAAACCTCAGTCTCTCCCCTTGCATCCTGCTCCCTGTCCCTCCAGCACACAGACTTCAGAAGAAGCTACAGTCCTGCTTTCTCTGAGACTCCTGACCTTTTGAGTTATGGAGTTTAACTCTCAGTAGTATCTGAGGCCTCTAGTAGTTGGGCTTGTCTTCTATAACAGGGCAGGCGTCGTAGTTCTTAGGGAGGGTTGCAGAGTTGGCACCATTACCAGAAATGCTGGATTCTTGAGCTGCACTCATCCTGCAAGGGAAACTGGCAAGCAAGAAGCCTTCCATGACCACTCCTCTTCTAGACAGGAAGCTGCTCTGTATTTCAGTTCTGTTAAAGTTGTTTTCTTTCCTGCTCTTGCTTGCTAAGAAGTGAAGAACTTCAAGAGTGAAGTTAGAGGATGCCCATTAGGCTTGCAGGAAACTGATAGGGGTAGTTCACAGCAGAGGAGGTGAGGTATTGACTATAACCTGAGCTGTAGCTGGAGAGACTTTATGAAAAGCTGTGAAGGTGGGAGATGCTCTTAGGCTGACCCTTGTAATGTGATTTTGTTGCTCTGCTTGTCCTGTGTTCAGGAGAATTTGCTGCTGGTTTAGCAGGACGGCAGAGACATAGCTTCCAGACTTTGAAATTCTCTCTGGGAAAAGAGGCTGCAGCTTCTTAGCCGCTTAAGTTGACCCAGGCATCCGCCCCTGTAGCCTGTCCCTGAGTGGTGTTCCTGCCTGGGGCTGAGGGGCAGCCCCCAGCCTGCACAGCAGGAATTGCAGCAGCCACCATTCATGCTGGTTCCAGGTGCGGTGGAGCAATGGCCAGAGCGCAGGCAGTGTGGCTGTGGACCAGACATGTGGAAAGTGGCACTGTTTGCTGCAGAGGCTCCAAAAATAGAGTTCAGTTCCTCAAGTACTATTTTTCCCTTAGAGGTTTCCATGAAGACACCCACGTTTGTCCGTGCTGCAGCCTCCAAGCCACTGCTGTTAACTCCACAACCTGAAAAACCTGCTGTTCCCAAGTAAGTCTAAGTCACCGTCAGCAGTGTCCTGGTAGAACTGTGTCTGGGGGGTGTAAGCATCAGGAGGAGAGAGTGCTGAGCCCAGCTTTGTCAGTTGTGTGCTATAAAGCACAACAAGCTGGTAACAGCTGCAGCAGAGAGCAAACAGTCCTCAAGCCTTTAGTTCATTCACTGCTGTAGCAGTTAAAGAGGTCTATCAAGTGAATGCCTGTACTTTCCCCAAGCAGATCTGATGTCTCAAGTCTTTCCAATGAACATTCTTGTAATTTTTTTCTTGTGCTGAAGACCTAAACTTTTTCCTAGGAGTTTTTCAACTGTTAAGCTACCCTGGAGCCATAGACTCCAGTATGGGATGCAGAGACTCTTGCAGAAGAGGCGGAATTGCAGATTACATTACTGATCACACAAAGTGATGTATTTGTATTGACTTTAGAAGCCTGAAGCTGTATGCATTGCCATGTACTGAGTATAAAATGAAGCTCGTCTAGAGGCAGAAAATGAACCTGTCCTCTGCATTATTCCAAATTAATTAACATTTATCACTCTCTTAACTAGAAATTTGGTGAAGCCATATGCTTCATCAGACCCACTAACTGTGGGTCCTAAGGAACAGGAGGAATTTTCTGGCCTGTGACTCTAGATTTTAGTTAATTGAAGCAACAAACAATAAAACCAAATTCTTGTGCCCTTTACCGCTGTGAAGAGAGGTGAATGATGCTTACAGAAGGTGCAGGATGATTGCTCTAGTTATGAATAGTGAAATACATTTATAAAATAGAAAAGAGTCTTTGATACTCTGCTGAAGTGGAACTGAATGAATGCAGATTTGCTTTGGCATTTTGCACTGAGACATGCTCTTTTATATATATATATAGGGCATGTCTGAATACTAACTCTTCTGTAGATGGTGCTAGTCCTCACTGGCAAGAGATGTCCATGTATTTGGATGCACATTCTTTATAGGTATTTCTGGGTGTTAATAGACTGACAGATTTTCAGGCTGTGCTGAGGTAAGATGATCATAATTACAGGTTCAGAGCCTCCATTACAGGAAGCTGTAACACAGTTTGTTTGCACTTTATGTAATCAGTCTGACCCAGAGTTTGCCTGCTCACTTCCTGAGAGAGCAGTGCTCACGCTAAAAGCCCGAGGAATACTCTAGGTTATGTAGTGGAGCAGTAACCATGTGACAGCCATGCTTAAAGACTTTTTGCTGTAAAATAATCTCTTTATACTGGTAAAATTCTGCTGTGATCAATTATATTAGATTAGGGCCACAGAATGTTTCACTTCGAAACACCAAATTGTCATACAATTACTAAACTTCAGTTTTTCCCTGATCCTGTGAACCGAACATTCATGTATGATCATTTGTAAATGGGTAAAATGAGGCACAGAAGCAGTAAACAAGATGGCTTAAATCATTACCAGGTTTTTTCTCATGACTACACATATGTTATCTCTGGGGCTGATCTCTTCCACCTGCCCCTGAAGTTCTCTGAGAGAAGAACATGCAGATGGGCTGGAGAGAGAATTAGTGATACACATGCCACTTCTGTGGGTTTTGTGTGTGTTAGTCTGAGGTTCCAGGGCTTTTCTATTGTTTTCCAGTTGTCTACTGAGTGAATCTGGGGATTTCACTTCCCTTTTTCATGTTACAATTTTTCCTTTTTTAGAATGGAAACCAGCTATAATTTCCTTTGGGACTTAGTCTTTAAGAAGAAAACCCAACCAACCCCAAAGTCCACAAATCCCACTAAAGAGAATGTTTGTCATGGTCTAAAGGTGTACACTGGAGAGCAGACTCTCCTGTCTGAAGGTGCAGAGGTGGACTGTGGATTCATCAAACATTGTGCACTCCTGGACAGTTAAAACTCAGGGATGCAGTGAAAACTGCGTTTCTGTGTTGGAAGGAACTATAGTTTGCTGCCTGTTTATTATGTGAGCATGCTTATCTGCAGAAATGTGAGCCTGGATTAATTCTCTCAAGATCATAATGCCACATGAACTGTTTCCAAACTGTACTTCGTAGGCATGAGGGTTTTGAAGAATTGTGAGGGGGAAAGAATTAAGAGCTGGATGTAGTTCTTATCCCTCTAAATTCAGCATAGTGTTTGCCCAAACTCAGCTTCGTGTTCTCTGCCTCTTCCCTGTGTTTGTTCATTTGATGTGTGAATTTTCAGTTTCCCCCAAAGGTCTCCCCTCCGGCCGCTGGGGACTAAGCCAGTTCCAAAGAGGTCGGGAGTGCCACAGAGGAAAACAAGAGAGCCTGAAATAGCAAGTAGTTTGATAAAGAAGATATTTAGCCATTATGCGAAAATGCCGGTGACCAGAGATGCGTTCAAAATTGTTGAAAAATGGTAGGAAACAGCAAACTGCTCCTCCTCCCACTCTTTTTAGTCTTTCTTTTTCTTTCTTTCTTTTCTCCCCCGAAATAACAAACCTGTCAGGAGTGCTGCTGGTAAGCTGACAGCCCTCCCTGTTCAGCTGGGGAGAGTCGCGGTAGGGCTGGTTAGAATGAGGACAGAAGAGTGCTGGGTGCTTTTGGCTGCTATGCGGGTATCTGTGACCAATGCTGCCATGCAGAAGCTTCTGGGTTTTGTCCCAACCAGTACAAATTTCACCATTCCCGCTATTCTCTAGCTAAGAGCACACGAATACCATTAGCACGCTCTGTTAGGGAGCGGGGTGGATCTGCAGTGCTTCTCCTCCTGCAGTTTTTCCTGGCAGGCGAGCAGCACTAGTGCAGCTTGTCCTATGGAAGTGGGTGAGTAGTTGGTGTTCACGCACTCCACAGCCCAATTTCATTTCCCTCCTCAATCCTTCTTCAGCTGTGAGAGATACTTCAAGCAGGTGTGCAACGATCTGGAAGCTTACACCAACCATGCCAGGAGGAAGACGGTGGAGAAGGCTGACCTGGAAGTCCTTATGAGAAGGTAAAGGGAGGGTTGTTGCTAACCTGCAGTAGTGTTTGGTGGTGCTTTGGTAGTCTAGCAAGACTGTTATTGCCAGGGTGTGCACTAGCAGTATTTGCAGAGTCTGTGTGGTATCTTCTGATTTACTGTGCGATGCCCTTCGGCCCCCTGTCCCAGGAGGGCATTTGTGGATTTGGGGTTTACTCCACGGTGGTGGTGGTGAAGAGGCAAGAGGAAGGAGTGAGGAGCCGGGAGTGCAGGAGCCATCTGAGGAATGTGTAGCAAGAGGAGGGGCATGTGTGCAAGGGCGAAGCAGTTAGGGTTGAGAAGTGAATGGTGTTGGTAGAAGAGGCAGAGGAACAGTAAGTGTGAGGCTGGGCTGCACTGTTCCCACCGCTGAGCAATCTCTTTGCTCAGTGCTTGTGACTGGAATAGCATTTTCACATGCCCTGCTGGCTGTTTTGAGGACTTACTCTTCCAAACAAAATCATAGAACCATTTACATAGGAAAAGACCTTTAAGATCATTGAGTCCAACCCTTAACCCAGCACTAAGTTCACTGCTAAGCCATCTCCCTAAGCATCACATCTACACAACTCTTAAATGCCTCCTGGGCTGGACTTCACTACTTCCCTGGGCAGCCTGTTCCAGTGCTTGACAACACTTTTGGTGAAGGATTTTATTCTAATATCCAACCTAAATCTCCCCTGGCACAACTTGAGGCCATTTCCTCTCATCCTGTCACTTGGGAGAAGAGTCCAACACCCATCTCACTACAACCTCCTTTCAGGTAGTTCCTGCTTCTGCAAAAGCTAATACTTAGGGTTCAAGGTAACAGTTCTCCAGAGCAGGAGAACGAGCCTCCAGCCTGTCAGGCAAGGGCTGGCTGCTCCTAACGACTGTGTTCTGCTCTATGCTGCCACTCTGCGAGCCTGGAGAGGAGCATACTGGCCAACAGCCTGGCTGAGCTGTTCTCTGAGCCTCTCCACTCTGCTCTTCCCTCTGGGCTCCCTCAGCTACCCCATCTCAGGCTTGAATTTACTCTTGTCCTGTGACCAAAACTCAAGGGGTTTGTTCTTGGCTTGGGAGCCCTCTGTAAAACTCTGTGGGGCCCAAAAGAAATTAATCTCTGCTTATTTAAAGTCATTACTGCAGGTTGTTACTCATTTGTCTCCAACTGGAAGAGTTTTCAGATGCACTGTAAAGTCATCTGGGGGATTTCATGGGGCACATCTGATTGAAGGCACCTCTGTCAGGTGGAGCTGGTGTTGCTAAAGAATAATCTGTTGCCATCCTGGTCCAGAGATCTTAATTTTTCCACCTGACAGGTGTGTGCTGAAGTTAGTATGGACAGGCTGAGAGGTGTGGTTTTTCAGATAGCCAGGTCTGAGGATTCTGTATTCTTGTTATTTTACCTTTTTCTAGATGTCTTTATGCCTTTCCACTGCTTCATAAAGGGATCAGGAGCTGTTGCTAGTTCATTAATAAGAACGGTATTTCTGTTCCTTCCACAAAAAAAGCATGAAGAAATGCTGTGCTTTTTTTCCCTTTCTATGAGACTGGGAGATACTGATTTTTCAGGCCAGTCAGCTAAATGGTACCAGAAAACTCCATGGCTTATACAGTTTGAAACTGCCAACCACCTCTGATTGGGAACATAAAAAATCTGCTGGGTAACGAGCTATTTGCTTCTGTTCCATCATTCTGTGTGTGTCTTTAAATGGTAAAATTAATCCCATGGCAGGTGGATCATGAATTTAAAAAGCAATGAGCATAGTTATGCTTTGGTAAAAATCAATATCGCTGTGATAAACACATAGCTGGGTGGGAAGCTGCTCTGCAATGACCCTCTCAGTCTGCTTCCACACGTGGGCAAGGCTGGCGTCCGCGCCGGCCACAGGACCTGGGGCACCACAAGTAGGAATCTGGAGCTCTTCTGTCACAAGCTGCTGTTAAATGCAAAAATGTCACCGCAAGAAAACTGCTCTGATACTGAGTGGAAACGCTTTTCACTAACTCCTCTGTTTCTTCTCTGCTCTCTTCTTTTTAAATAAAGGCAAGGGCTGGTGACAGACAAGATGCCGCTGCATGTGCTGATAGAGCGTTACCTGCCTCTGGAGTACAGGAAGCTCCTGATTCCAGTTGCCATAAGTGGAAATAGAGTGGTCCCCTGCCCATGAACGTGCCTCTCCGGCAGCGATGGCCCTGGGAGTGGGGGACGGCGCCTGCCTGCAGATCTGGGCTGTGGGTGGTTCCCTGGAACTGCCCCCCAGGATGGGTTTCCACAAGTAACCAGTGGGGCAATAAACAGTTTATGTTCTCTTGAACTGATGCCGGTTGTGCTGTGGCTGTCACACCAGCCTGCTGAATGTCACACCAGCCTGCTGGATGTCACCAACTGTTACTACATGTAATTAGACTATCCTGATTTTTTTATGTTACTTTTGAATACTTGTACATCTCTGAAAAATAAAATATTGTACGTATTCTGTGTGATGCAAATGCTGCTCATTCCAGTGAGCTGAAAGGCTACTGCATTGCGTTGTTCAAAATGTTCCTAATAGGCATTTAGCTGTATCGATGCTCCTCACACTAACTAGTTGTGTACAGCCTTGTATTTTTCTAGAGCGGGGGCTTTCAAACCTGGGCTCTGTCCCCTTTTGTAAGGAGGGACAGACTCTTGTCTGTGTCAAGAGTAGGTCATCTGCCCGTGACCACGGCTGTTTGCTGCTGTACATTGGAGTGGGAATGTACACTTTATATATGGCTGAATCTCACAGGGCATTAGCAGGCAATAATTTAAGACTGAGAGATGAATTTTTCTGATGCACACAGGGTAGGGAGACTGGGGGAGACTGACTCAGGTGGAGTTACCTGTGTGCACTGGGTTTGTGTGGTGGTGGGGAGGGGTGGCTCCAGGAGTGGCCTTTGGCCCCCCAAAACAGACCCAGCACTGAGGGAGGAGCCTGTGCAGGAGCAGGTTCACTGGCAGGGACCTGCAGGGGTCCCACAGTTCCTGAGAGACTGTACCCCATGGGAGGGACCCCACGCTGGGTCAGGGGGAAGCGTGAGGAAGGGGCGGCACAGAAAAAGTGTTGTGGAGCTCAGGGTTTCAGTCAATCCCTATCCCCTCTGCGCTGCTTGGCAGGGAGGAGATTGGGAAGAAGGAAGATCTTTTTAATTTGGTCTTTGTTTCTCACTCTCCTCTTTAATTCATTGCTAGTTAAAAATATCTTCCCCAAGTGAAGTCTGTTTTGACTGTGCCGGTAGTTGGTGAGTGATGCCCTTGTCTTTATCCTGACCTGTGAGCTTTTCCATTTTATTTTCTCCCCCGTCCTGCTGAGGAGGGCGAGCAAGGGAGAGGCTGAGTGTGTGGCTGGCACCCAGCTGTGGCTAAATCTCCCCGCTGTTTCATACGGGTGGTTGCTGCACAGAGGAGCTGGTCTGCACTGCGCTCCCTTGTGTTCCTCAAGCAGTGAGACAATAAAAAAGCACAATTCTTGGATACGGTTTTACTGCTGACAGCAAACCTAAACCACGCCAGGAATGAGGTCAGCCACAGGAAAGGATTCCAGGAGCAACTGTGACTTTGTAAAGCAGCTCAGAAGCTGGGGAAGAATGATGCATGTCACATACACCAGTTTCAGAGGGATGGATATGGATATCAGATTTTCTCCTGCATGTTTTTCAACAGCATGCTCTTCAGTGTATTCCCAGGGGGGTCAGTGACACACTAGTATGCTTTCCTTTTATTTAGCCATTCTGTAATTCCCAAGGTAAGAGATGGTGCTTATTTCTGAGAAAAATGAATAGATTTTATTTTTCCTCCCTAATTCTTAGCATCTCCATCTTGAACTTGGAAACTTTGAGCCTTAAAATGGATTAATTTGACTTAGACTTGAGTATTTCAATCAATCAGTTAAGTTCCAGGTGTCTGCAAAGAAGGGATGGCTTGAGGCTGCTGCTTTGCAGCCTCAAACAGGGCAGAGTGGGGCTGGGCAGGCAAAGCTCAGCACAAACATCATCTTACTGGTGGCTCTTCTGGCGCTCCTGGGGCGGGACAGGCTCTGGTTGCACCAGTGCAGCCAGTCTGATGGTCACGCTGGATGCTTGCCACCCTCTAGTTATTTCTCCCCATTCTAAACGTGTCCTAAATCCCAATGCAAGTATAGATCCTTGTCTCTGGATTAAGCTGTGTGCACAGTGTTATTTCCTAAAACTACAGCTCAGTGGCACAGTTCATAATGACTCATGGAAATCCAACCCAACTCTTGGCAGCAACACTTGTAAGTTAACAGGTTTTGCACAAGGCTAAAGGAAATGACTGATACAGTTAAAATCTCTGGCAGGCAGTAACAATACAAAGGTCAGTCATTTTTCAAATTTGGGTTGTTTGTTTTTGGGTTTTTTTTAAACATAATTCCATTAATACAACAAAGTGGATTTTTTTTCAATATTCAAAAGTAAACAGTTTGTTGTTTGAACAAAACTTGCACTTGTAAAACCACGTTTTCTGCCATTATGGGGCTTTTCAAGTGTGTCCTCAAGGCTTTGCAAACACCAGTTTGAAAATTTTAATCTGAAGTAGTAGTGAAGTTTTCAACTCTTCTTCTCATGGTGAGAACCCCCTTTTCCTAAGGAGAGAATCTCCCAAGGAGAAGCTGCTGGCTCCTCTTTCTTTCCATTGTGTTGCCTCCTCCTGTAGCCATCTGCAACCAGCGTCCTCCACTGCTGGGTTCTGCCCCGAGCAACTTCCATCTGAGGGCAGGAGGCCATGGGGCTTGGATGGTTGGGAGCGTTGTGAGAGGGAGAGGCAAGATTCCCCATCCAATCTCCCTCTTCTGGTGAGATGTGTTGAACGTTTTATTGCAGTAAAGTGAGGGCTAACTAAATTCAAGACTTTTGAAGACCTAATTTTCAAGTCCTAACAATGTAACGGGAAGGGAAAAAGAAAGAGATACCCAGCGCTGTAAAGAGCTGTTAACTTTTGGGGATCTAAAGTCCTCCGTGTGAAGCAGACCAAGTGATTCCTGCTCCCTGTAGCCCACTACTTTCTCTATCTCCCTTTAGGGGTTTTCTTGCAAAACTTTGCAAATTTGATGTTCATTTACCAAAACTTTGATGGTGCTTAAGTTCCCTGTCCTTTTTAGATATACTGACTTTTGCCATACTCCAACCCCTTCTTTCAGAATACCCTTTAGAGATACCTGCAGTTAGGATATTTGGGTTCTAGCATCTCCCTTTTCTATCCTTTTATAGTTCCTTCCCTGGTATTCTGTGATTTGTGGTGGAAGTGCCTGGCACCAACTTCAGTATCAAAGGCAGAGACCCCGGGGGCCTCGTGCCTCTGCGTGGTCCTTACCCTGGCACGCAGGCTGCGATGCCTTTCCAGTTTACAAATGCAATCAGTTTTTTCAAATGCTCACAAAAATAGCAGAGGTTTTAGGAAGATTACTTCTGATTCCAGCTTTCTACTTTTCAAACTATGTGTGAGGAAAAGAACAGGTTTGCCTTCTTGGGTTTGCTCCACTTGACAGTTGAGGCACAACCATAGCAGAGCTGTTTTCCTACAGGATTTGTTTGTTTGTTTGTTTGTTTTTCAAGAACCCTTATTCCCCTCCCTGGAGAGGGCTCTTTGCTGGATAGAGAGGATACTAACAAACAGCTAATGCCAGTGGTTGGAAAAGCAGCTTCCAAAAAGCATGTGTATTGTTCCTTGAAGCAAGGGACAGATTTCAGTGTTTCTGTGCTTGGATTACTTTTCCAGCTCAAAGTTTGGTTCAGTCTACTCATGTAGCAGCACTTGAATTTCTTTCAAAGTGACTTCATACTGGATAACAGCAGCTACACCAAGATAAAAGCATCCTTGGGGACATGGTAGCAAACCTGGTGTAGGCTGAACTGACCTTTCACATGCATACCAACTCTGCTGGTTAACATCATTTTGCAAATGTATCTTTGCAACCTGGCCTCTTTGAGCCAAGGAGCTATTAAGGCCCAAGGGCTAAAGCAGCCACATTACAGCCTGGTTTTCCTCTTTCCTTCCTTTCCTGATGGTGGCTTCTCAGTAATGGCTACTGGAGCATAGTTGTTCTGTCACCAACACTGTGGTGCCCCAGTGCTGTGGGGGTATGAAGCCTGTCTGGGGGTCCAGCAACCTCCTACTGCATGTCTTGCTGAGCTGAAATGACTCTGCAGAGGCTGCAAAATGGTACTGGAGTGCTTTGCTGCTTAAACTGAATGTGCTCCTGATAGTTCAGGCTAGCCTATCCTTGCAACTGTTAGCTACTGGGTGTATCTTGGTATGCCTGGGAAGAAGTATTTAGTGCAGTTAACTCTGACTCCCAGCTTGGTATCACAACGTGTACATCAAACAGTCCCTTTATTCTCAATAGCAGAAGGCTGCTCACTCCCTTTCACAACCAGGCGTGCCTCCCTCCCTGGGCGGGGGCCCTGCTCGTCTCACGTCTCCAGCGAGCAGTCTCTCGAGTGCAGTTTCCACAGGCAGGGCTTCTTGGTCTGGCTGTTCTCTTCCACTCTGATAAGCCAGGTCTAGGTAGGTATCCAACATCTGATCACTGATACCCGGATCGATCACGCAGAAGGCACTCTTCAGATCATCTGCCCTCACCTCTCTGTGCAAAAACAACTCAGTCACTGCTATGTGGTGGTATATGAAAGGAATATTTACTTATTTGTGTCACAGTAAGAATCCACGTTGCTTGAGTGCAGAGCACTGCAGAGCAGAAATGTCTTTTGATGCTGTTATCTCTGCCTCTACTAGCATCCCTCTGTTTTAAATACACATCTAATAAAGACTGCTAAGAACTAAATTTCAAACTGAATGGAAGTTAGGAATAGATTTGTGATAACCTGTGAGACCTTAATTTCACTCTGTTGTGCATTGTGATATCATTTGTTAGAGAAATATAGTTTTTCCTTGCTCATTCATTGCCTACATTGGACAGTACTTAACTTCATGGGCATCTACCCACCTTTGGTCTTCTCCACAGTGCTCGGCACCAGGCTTTTTTTTGCACCTTTAAATCTGCAGTTGTCAGTCCTATTCACTCTTCCCTCCCCAGAACCGATCTCTGAGGATGTGCAGGACTTTACTGCTATTTTTGGAGAGCTGAGGAGTGTTGAGCCATGAGACTTTAGGTACTCAAGGAGATTATTGGTACAACCAACATTCTCTACTCTCTGTCTGCTGTATCCAAGTCGTTTGGGTCAGGAGCTGACTCTGTGCAGTGTTTTGTAGAGCAGAGCTCAGCCAGGTTTGGGTATTTACTGTAATATTCACAGCTGGGGCTCTCTGTAGTGCAGGGGGCCCTGTGCTGGCCATGCACTCCTGTGCTCCCAGCGGGGTTCCCTCTGCACATGCTATCCTGTTCTACTGTCCCCATCAGCCCCTTCCCTCCAGACTTACATTAAATCTCCCAGCTTGGTCTTCAGTTGGCTCAGATACTCCTGCTTCTCCCTGACATATTGGCTCCTCAGCTTTGCAACGAAAGGTTCGGTGTTCCCCTCCTCATCCTGAAAGAAATTACAGGTGTGTTAGCACTGAACATGGGTTCCAGTCTGGGCAGGAGCTGCCCCCTGGTATGTATTAAAATAACTCAGCTCTCCTAGAAATGGAATTTCAATGTGAAAAATGGAAATAAAGAGAAAGAATATGGAAAAGGCACCAGCTTGCATTGCTGTTGTCTGAAGATGGCCTTCAGGTCTTAGAGCTTGTTGCACTGCGGCTTTGTTAGTCTGATAAACCTAGTTAGTCTGATAAAACTAATTTAATCCCTAAATTAGGTTCAATCTGAATCAAAAGGAGAATTTAAGTAACATTGTCTTACTTCTTTGAATAAGGATATGCACTCAATAAGGTCTTCAGTGCTGTCCAGCTGGTACCTGCTTGCATCAACTAGTTCTTGGATTGACTCTTGCCTTTTCAGGGGAAAAGCTTCCCTCAGGGCCGTGCTGTGTGGAGACAGGCAATACAGACAGAAGCGTGTATGCTGTTTACAGTACAAGCATTAACAATGGCCAGCGTGGCTGGCTGGTTTTCAGGCTGTCAGGTTGTGCAAGTATTCTATGGGGCCAGGTCTTCAAAAATTCATTGCTTTCACAGGAGATGCATTTCAAGAAGCATGTGCACCTTCAGACACCAAAACAAGGGCAAAGCTTTCAGCAGAGCTTTAGGGCTCAGGTGAGTGTTGGATGCTGAGCCATGTGGGACACTCTGAATGCAGCTGTATTGGTTTTCTGGAAGCCCAGACCAAACTGGTTAGCGTGTCGGTACTGGATCCATGTTCCTAGCAAAGTGCTGGAAATGGCTGCTGCTTCTCTCCCATGCCATAACCCAAAGAAATGCTGTATTTAGAGTTTCACTTAAGGCACAGCCGATTGATCAGCTGGGAGAAGATTGACAAACCTTGCACCTCTAGCAAAATTCACATAAATGCTTTGTGACCTTTCCCAGGAGCTCGCGGGAGCACCGTGCAGGGTGTCCTGTCCCCTCAGGGAGCGGGGCAGGGCACAGGAGCTGCCAGCCTGCCCCCCTGCATGTGTGAAGCACCCCATGTCTGCTCTCAGGCTTCCAGTTGCACTATTTAAAATGTGCAGTATTCACATTATTCTAAACCTAATGCAGAGCTTAACAAGTACAGACTTGCTACAGCTGTCCACACAGGAATATGAAAGAGGGAAAACCCCTCCTCCCCTGGCTGTGCTGGCTGATAAGCAAAGCAGACAGACTCAGCAGATCACAACATCTGACGTGTGCCAGACATGGGCAGAGCTCAATGGGCAACAGTCAGCCTCTTGCCTGAATCGCTCGCTGGTCAGGGATCTGCTGTGCAAGCTGCCGCAGGCAGCCAGCTCCTTCTGCAGGCTGGAAACCAGCTCATTCTGGCCATGGTACTGTTCTTCACCCACCTGTGAAACAGGGCAGGTTCACAGGTCAGTAACCACCTCATCTGTCCCTCCCCCCCCCCCCCCCCCCCCCCCCA